AGGGAAAGAAACCGGCGGACGATGCGGGCAGTATCAAGGAGCACCGCCTTCTGCATTTGAGCCCGGAGCGGTCCGTCACGGAGTCCCAGTCGCCTCAGATGACCAGAGAGGCTAACTGGGATTAGCCCATTCGCAGAGACGAATACAGGAATAATTTCGGCCGGCAGACCACCCCACATGTCGGTCACCTCGTGAGCCAGGTCCAGATATTTTGATTGCTTATCTGTTTCGGCTCTCACGAGGTTCTCGTCATACGGGATGGTAATATCGACCAAAAATATCCTTGACTGTGCCCGGTCCATCAACACAATATCAGGCTTATTTGCAAGAATAGTCCTGTCTGTGATGATGGCCCGGTCCCAATAGAGCCTGGCGCGGTCATTTTCGAGCACGGCTTCCGGCAAGTACTTGTAATACGGCAATTTCCGGTCCACGAGACCGTATTTCATTTATTATTATTATTTTTGGGGTATCTGTATAGTTTTCTCATCTGGTTGGTTTCTACAAATATATAATTATAAATTAAAATGAAAAGATAAATATACATAAATATCAATAAAATAAAATAAATACAAAAAATACACAAATAAATAAAGATCCAACCAGATGGAAGCCCTCGGCAGGGGAGACCAAACGGCCGAGGGTTAGGGGGAAAGGGAAAGAAACCGACGGACGATGCGGGCGGTATCGAGGACCACTGCCTTCTGCATTTGAGCCCGGAGCGGTCCGTCACGGAGTCCCAGTCGCCTCGGATGACCCGAGAGGCTGACTGGGATAAGCCCGTTTGCAGAGACGACTACAGGAATAATTTCGGTCGGCAGACCACCCCACATGTCGGTCAGCTCGTGAGCCAGGTCCAGATATTTTGTTTGCTTATCTGTTTCGGCTTTCACGAGGTTCTCGTCATACGGAATGGTAATGTCGACCAAAAATATCCTTGACTGTGCCCGGTCCATCAGCACAATATCAGGCTTATTCGCAAGAATAGTCCTGTCTGTGATGATGGCCCGGTCCCAGTAGAGCCTGGCGCGGTCATTTTCGAGCACGGCTTCCGGCAAGTACTTGTAATACGGCAATTTCCGGTCCACGAGACCGTATTTCAGAGCGAGCGCCTGTTGTAGAATTCTGGCTACTAGGTTGTGCCTGTGCAAGTACTCAGAGTTAGAAAGCGCCGAACAACCGGAGATGACATGTCTAAGTGACTCCCCGGGATGGCGACAAGCTCGACAGACGTCGACGGTGCCATCCTTTAGGATGTATCTCCGATAGTTTTTGTCTTAATAACCTGATCCTGTATTGCACAGACAAAACCCTCGGTTTCCCCGAAGAGGTCACCGAAACGTAGCCAGTTGAGGGAGGCGACTGTATCTACGAAGGGCTCATGTAGAGCCCTGTAGTACCTCCCGTGGAGCTCCTTCTCCTTCCATACGGTCTCCCGGTCGGAAATGCTAAGCACTGCTGGGTCCTGCCATTGCTCGTTGGCCAAGGATAGAGGGGTAAGCCCTTTATCACTAGAAATGACGTCATTATAGAATGGATCATCCGATCTCGCCAGGAAGTAATGACGGAGGCTGCACACTTTACGATCATGCATAGTGAGCGCGCTTAGAAAGCCACGCCCACCATGCTTTCGCGGCAAGTACAGCCTCATTACCGACGATCTCGGATGATGCATCCTATGGGACGTCATGGTAGTGCGGACTTTTCTATCCAGGGCGTTAAGTTCAGTCTGAGTCCACCTGAGTATGCCAAAGGTATACATAAGGACAGGCATGACCCAACCGTTATATGCGTGTGTCTTATTCACACCGGACAAAAGGCTATTAAGCACTTTGGTCAAGCTTGCATAAAACACGTCGCAAACTGACTGTTTCACACCAGCCTCATCGATACCGATGTTCTGTGACATACCCAGGTATCGGTATGTTTCAGCCTCGGAAAGGGTCCTTAAGTTGACGGGCATAGATAAATCTATGCCCTCAGAGTTAGCAACCCTTCCCCTCTCAACATAAAGGACCGCACACTTATCCGTCCCCAGCTCCATTCCAATGGAACTGCTAAACTCACAAGTGATTTTTAGCAATTTCACAAGATGGGAGCGACTGGAGGCGAATAACTTAAGGTCATCCATATAGAAAAGGTGGGTCACTTTTGTCCCTCCTTTCCGTAGCTGAAATCCTCTCCCGGATCCCTCCAGTAAGGTACTGAGAGGGTTCAGGGAGAGGCAGAACCAGATTGGACTCAGACAATCGCCCTGGAAGATACCCCTTCTTATCCTTATGTGGTTCTCCGCAGCCATCATCCGCTCACCCAGATGACAAAGGATCGTACTCCACTGCCCCATACACTGCTCGAGGAAGTCTCTCACTGCACAGTCTATCTTGTACAGCTCGAGGACTCTCTTTAGCCATGTATGGGGCACCGAGTCGAATGCCTTTCTGTAGTCTATCCAGGCGGCGGAGAAGTTCCGACGGTTGCGTTTCACCACTTTTCCAATGACCGCGTCAATGAGGAGTGGTTCCTTGGTTCCACGACCACCGCCCCGACATCCATTTTGAGCGCGCGACATCACCTGATTTGAGTCCAGGTGACAAGTGATTCTCGCGCTCAAAATGGATGTTAGTGTCTTGTATATGGTCGGTAGACACGTGATGGGGCGGTATTTGCTCGGGTCTGTGGTACCCTGGTCTTTAGGAACCAAATGAGTGATCCCAGTAGTGAAGAGGCTAGGGAGCGACTTCTGGTTGAGAGCCTCTTGAAACTGACGGGCGAGCACAGCGTGACACACCATGAACCCCTTTATTATTATTATTATTATGGGGTATCTATATAGTTTTCTCATCTGGTTGGGTTCTATAAATATATAATTATAAATGAAAATGAAAAAATAAATATACATAAATATCAATAACATAAAAGAAATATAAAAGTACATAAATAAATAAAAGCCCAACCAGATGGAGGCCCTCGGCAGGGGAGACCAAACGGCCGAGGGTTAGGGGGAAAGGGAAAGAAACCGGCGGACGATGCGGGCGGTATCGAGGAGCACCGCCTTCTGCATTTGAACCTGGAGCGGTCCGCCACGTAGTCCCAGCCGCCTCAGATGACCCGAGAGGCTGACTGGGATTAGCCCGTTTGCAGAGACGACTACAGGAATAATTTCGGTCGGCAGACCACCCCACATGTCGGTCACCTCGTGAGCCAGGTCCAGATATTTTGTTTGCTTGTCTGTTTCGGCTTTCACGAGGTTCTCGTCATACGGAATGGTAATGTCGACCAAAAATATCCTTGACTGTGCCCGGTCCATCAGCACAATATCAGGCTTATTCGCAAGAATAGTCCTGTCTGTGATGATGGCCCGGTCCCAATAGAGCCTGGCGCGATCATTTTCGAGCACGGCTTCCGGCAAGTACTTGTAGTACGGCAATTTCCGGTCCACGAGACCGTATTTCAGAGCGAGCTCCTGGTGTAGAATTCTGGCTACTAGGTTGTGCCTGTGCAAGTACTCAGAGTTAGAAAGCGCCGAACAACCGGAGATAACATGCCTAAGTGACTCACCGGGATGGCGACAAGCTCGACAGATGTCGACGGTGCCATCCTTTAGGATGTATCTCCGATAGTTGTTGGTCTTAATAACCTGATCCTGTATTGCACAGACAAAACCCTCGGTTTCCCCGAAGAGATCACCAAAGCGTAGCCAGTGGAGGGAGGCTACTGTGTCTACGAAAGGCTCATGTAGAGCCTTGTAGAACCTCCCGTGGAGCTCTTTCTCCTTCCATACGGTCTCTCGATCGGAAATGCTCTGCACTGCCGGGTCTTGCCATTGCTCGTTGGCTAAGGATAGAGGGGTAAGTCCTTTATCACAAGAAATGACGTCCATATAGAATGGATCATCCGATCTCGCCAGGAAGTAATCACGGAGGCTGCACACTTCGCGATTATGCATGGTGAGCGCGCTCAAGAAGCCACGACCACCATGCTTCCGCGACAAGTACAACCTCATTACCGACGATCTCGGATGATGCATCCTATGGGACGTCATGGTAGTGCGGACTTTTCTATCCAGGGCGTCAAGTTCAGTCTGAGTCCACCTGAGTATGCCAAAGGTATACATGAGGACAGGCATGACCCAGCCGTTATATGCGTGTGCCTTATTCACACCGGACAAAAGGCTGTTAAGCACTTTGGTCAAGCGTGCATAAAATACGTCGCAAACTGACTGTTTCATACCAGTCTCATCGATACCGATGTTTTGTGACATACCCAGGTATCGGTATGTTTCAGCCTCGGAAAGGGTCCTTAAGTTGACGGGCATAGATAAGTCTACGCCCTCAGAGTTAGCAACCCTTCCCCTTTCAACATGGAGGACCGCACACTTATCCGTCCCAAGCTCCATTCCAATGGAATTGCTAAATTCACAAGTGATGTTTAGCAATTCCATAAGATGGGAGCGACTGGAGGCGAATAACTTGAGGTCATCCATATAGAAAAGGTGGGTCACTTTTGTCCCTCCTCTCCGTAGCTGAAATCCCCTCCCGGAGCCCTCCAGTAAGGTACTGAGAGGGTTCAGAGAGAGGCGGAACCAGATTGGACTCAGACAATCGCCCTGGAAGATACCCCTTCTTATCCTTATGTGGTTCTCCGCAGCCATCATCCGCTCGCCCAGATGACAAAGGATCGTACTCCACTGCCCCATACACTGCTCAAGGAAGTCTCTAACTGTACAGTCTATCTTGTATAGCTCGAGGACTCTCTTTACCCATGTATGGGACACCGAGTCGAATGCCTTTCTGTAGTCTATCCAGGCGGCGGAGAAGTTCCGACGGTTGCGTTTCACCACTTTGCCAATGACCGCGTCAATGAGGAGTGGTTCCTTGGTTCCACGACCACCGCCCCGACATCCATTTTGAGCGCGCGACATCACCTGATTTGAGTCCAGGTGACAAGTGATTCTCGCGCTCAAAATGGATGTTAGTGTCTTGTATATGGTCGGTAGACACGTGATGGGGCGGTATTTGCTCGGGTCTGTGGTACCCTGGTCTTTAGGAACCAAATGAGTGATCCCAGTAGTGAAGAGGCTTGGGAGCGACTTCTGGTTGAGAGCCTCTTGAAACTGTCGGGCAAGCACAGAGTAACACACCATGAACCCCTTCAGCCAGTAGTGATGCAGCCCGTCAAGCCCCGGACTTTTCCAGTTCGGGGCCCTACGGACCGCCTCAGCTACGTCATCCGGCGTTATGATGACGGGGTCCATGGGCGTAATACCCGCACACTGACTCGCCACAACTTCCGTCCAAGGGCCCTCGCTGTGGTTTACGGGCTCTGACCACAGGCCGCGCCAGAATGCTACAGTGTCGGCCTGATTCGGTGCTGGACCCGTTCCACTTACCATTGGTCGCTCCAATGATTCATAGAGCCTCTTCTGATCACTCTGGAAGAGACGATTCTGGTTGAACCGTGTCGACCTCTCGGTATATCGCCGAATCCGTTTTCCCCAAGCAGCGATTCTCTGCTTCAGATCATCTATGCTCTCCGTCAGTTTTTGCGTTATATCCGGCTGGGACAAACTGACATTTGTCCCAGCAAACGCCATCCTGACGGTGCGCACAATTCTTGGCCTGTTGTTGCCTGATCTGAAGCATATCAGTCTGCCGATGAGAGCTCTAGCCTTTGCGATACGTTCCTCAATTCTTCTTCTCCATGCTGGGATAGCGCTACTATGGCCAGTAGCGCGTCCAGCCGTGGAAACCTTGGCGCCTATGATACGGCAGACTGCCAGCGCGGCGCCAAAAAGAATTGAGTCCGTCTCGCAAAGGTCCCGGCTGGCTTCCAAATAGGTCACCAGCATTGGGTTCAGAGCCCTCACGACAGCCCGATTCCGCTTGCTTGGGGCTATGCGGGGAAGTCGCGGTCGATTTTCGAGAGGCGTACTGCGCGTTTCCACAATCGCCTCTTCCAATGTACTCCTCATATGCTCTAATTCCAGTTCCTGGGCGACTGTTCCATCATCGTTTGAATCAACCACAACTGGGGTATTCACGGCGGCATCCACGTTTGCGGGTTGCTCTACCATTTGTGGCGCCGCATCCTCAGCCGTAGCATTCTCATCCGACGAGGGAACAGCCTCACGTCGTAGCCGTTCGAGTTCGGCGACATCAAATATATTTGAGCGCAAGATATACCGAACTCGTATATTTATATTATTATTATTTATTATTATTTAGGGGTATCTATATAGTTTTCTCATCTGGTTGGGTGCTATAAATATATAATTATAAATGAAAATGAAAAGACAAATATACATAAATATCAATAACATAAAATAAATATAAAAGTACATAAATAAATAAAAGCCCAACCAGATGGAGGCCCTCGGCAGGGGGAGACCAAACGGCCGAGGGTTAGGGGGAAAGGGAAAGAAACCGGCGGACGATGCGGGCGGTATCGAGGAGCACCGCCTTCTGCATTTGAACCTGGAGCGGTCCGCCACGTAGTCCCAGCCGCCTCAGATGACCCGAGAGGCTGACTGGGATTAGCCCGTTTGCAGAGACGACTACAGGAATAATTTCGGTCGGCAGACCACCCCACATGTCGGTCACCTCGTGAGCCAGGTCCAGATATTTTGTTTGCTTGTCTGTTTCGGCTTTCACGAGGTTCTCGTCATACGGAATGGTAATGTCGACCAAAAATATCCTTGACTGTGCCCGGTCCATCAGCACAATATCAGGCTTATTCTTATTATTATTATTATATTATTATCTTATTATTATATTATTATTATTATTATTATTATTATACATCATGAATGCCGGAAAATTCGGAGCGATATGAATGATATTCATTAATTCCAAATCCCTTGATGGATAGGGTTTAATGAAAATGATGTTGTCGAGTCACATGGTTTTAGTTAAGCATTAGAATATGACTTTGCCTGCGTCGTCTACGCAAGGAGAAAAAAGCAACTTATAACAATACTTTAAGCGGCCAAAACACAACTCGTACCAAATAAAAAAGAGATCATTTCCTAGGTTAGAATTAAATGCTGCTCATTTATAATATAAAGGAGACGGTCCATTTCAGGTCAGTCTATGTACACTATACCGTAAAAAAAGCGAATTTTCAGGGATTTTACTAAAAATAAAAAAGAGAATAAATCAAATTAAATGACTTGCTAAAAATTAAAATGCAATCCCAATTTTGATGATTTTACAAGATGGCGCCCTTCCAGTCATAAAATTATATGTGAAATGTCATGTCTGACAAGTGACAGCAAGTGACAGAGTCATGAAATAATGTAGGTATGGTTCATAAAAGATAGCTTGATCTCTGCGACAGCTGTCAGTAAAAATCACGCCCATGAAGTCCTGAATTTCTTAGTAGTACAGCTGTCGCAGAGATCAAGCTATCTTTTATGAACTATAGTGTGATATATTTTTGTTTATTCCGAGCTTGTTCGCACACTCACACACACACACAGACACACACACACACACACACACACACATACACACACACACACACACACACACAAACACGCACACAAAACACACACACACACACACACACACACACACACACACACACATACACACACACGCACATGCACGCGCACGCACACAAATAGCACACCCACAATCATTAATACAATTTATTCTTGTTTTATCAAAAAATACAACTTTTTTTGCCCTACCTTCGTACTAGTTTCGAGACATTTTAGCCATTATACGTAATAAATCTACCTGATTATCAGTGATAAAAATAACAGCATTTCAGAATTTAAATATCTGTCAATTAATTGATCAATCACTTCATGACAGTTGACAGCTAACGTCAAAACGACATCAATTCGCCATTAGTGAAGCAGTTTTTGGGAAGAATAAAATATTAATACCACTGAAATAAAAGCAATTTTATGAATTCAAATGATTAAAAATTTTATAACATATTATTTTATTTGTTTCCCTACTTGTACAAAACCAGACCTTCGCTTCATACAATTTTGGACGGTCTCCTTTATAAATAAGATAAAACAATGCATGTGTTAATATAAAATTGAGATATATGGATGGATGGACTCCATGATCGTTTTAGGTTGACTAAATAGAGATTCAAGTCGCTGGAATGTTTTACTTTCGAACAGAGAATTATAGTTGCAAGCAAGCCATAGGAGTTACGGTAAGTTTAAAGAAAACTCCGCGGAAGCTGCAAGTAGGGATCTATACGTATCACAACATAAAAATAACCAATTATGGTGGCACGGACTAACATGGCTACAAACATTTTCAAACCGACTTAATGAAAAACACGTTAATCAAACAAAGGAAGAAATTCGATTAAAACCAGCAAACGTCATACAGAAAAACATTCATATAAATATTATATATATATTAAATACGAGTACGTTTAGTTCCTTTATAAAAATAACTCTAAATTTCTAAATGGATATTACGTTTTTTTTTAACACCTAAGCAGATAGTGATAGTGTAAACTGTAAACAATGGCCGAGCTACCTTACGTTACGGGAAATGAAGCAAGCAAAATTTTTTATTAAACATGTCCAAGAAAAAAAAGATTTTCAGCTGGACATTGAATACTATTTATATAAGCAAAATACAGTGCATATGAGTAGCAAATTACGGAATCCAGCTCGAAGAATCTAAAAATGTTCGGGTATTGGACGTATGTTAAAGAATAATTTAAATTTTTTGTAAAACAGTCTAATAAAGAAGAAAAAAATATAACATTAATACATGTTTATGTTATATGATAATAACTATGTAAAAAAATATTAAATGTTAATGTTATGTTAATGAGTTCGCGTCCGTCGCGGTTACGGTGATTATGTGAACTAACTCAATTTTTATAATATGTGTATAGGATATACCTAGGTTGCCGTCCATATGAACACCAGTTTTAAATTAACTAAAAGCTTCTCTATACATCATCAAGAACAATATATTCTATATATATATATACAAGAGCAATATAATTAGGTTAACGTACTCAATGTGTTTGAAGAATCTATTTCAACTGATTTCGCAGCGTAAATTAAGAACATGGATCGGCGTTGCTACCTACTTACCTATACTAAGCAACAACACCGTTATAGGCTTTAACTAATGTAAACTTCGAGGTTAATTCCCTACAAAAATGAAAACAGGTTATTTCGATGCTAAATAATTACCCACATTAAAGAACTAAATACATAATTTCCACACGCACATATTTGTTTGGTCGGGGTAAAAGTTTCTTCGTATATATATATATATATATATATATATATATATATATGCCCTTTTGTTCGATAACCTATATAGGTGTATTGCTTGAGAACATTCGCTGCAGCCGCCACGCTTGGCAGACAAATTGGCAACTGCAGTTTTTCATTTTCTAGTTGTTGTTAGGAATCGTTTAAGCGGATGAAATACAAATAAAAGTTATTTAAACAGGAGTCCAATATGAAATCTCATATCTTATTTTTCCAAAACTTGCAAGATTTTGTCTTTAAATTGAAATGTAACCATACACAAAGTATAAAAAACTCTGAGACACAATCGGCAAATACATCAAGTTACATAAATCATAAAATAGATATCATACAAATGAAATAACAACCTCCTCCCAATTTAAAGTCGGTTATAATCACAGAAATCGTAATTTGTCTTAATATTACGATTTCTGTGGTTATAATACAATTCACAACATACTACAAGAATGTATCATTTTATAAAACAATTTAGAGCAGTGATAGCACATAGTAAAAGCTCTCGATTTAAAATTACATTGTGCATTAATTAATTAAAAAAATCCTTTTTTTATTGAAGAAGGGCTTTTTCTTAAAAAAAAAAAAACGAGCAACCTTTTAATCACAATGATGATAATATCACATTGGAATTACAAAATGCTACTTAGTTCTTGGTTTAGATTAATGACGCTGAACTAAAAATACCAGCGCTGGTTCAGGCATTGCGGTGCGCGGGGCGAGGACTATCGGGCTATCGGGCCACAAGCACGCGCTACATCCTGTCGTCTCGTTGCACGACGTATTCTCAGTTTTTACCAAACTATTGTAGTGATCTGTGTTAGTGATTGTTTTGGAAAGGAGTTACTAAATTCTAAGTTACAAATTATATTAAAAGCATCCCAGAATTTTTCAAAGCAATAACCTTTTTAAACTACGTAAGTACACATTGTTTACATTATTATCAGTATTTAATGTAGTAGAAAAATTAATCATTTTGTAGAAACATTAGCCTTCTTTGTAATTTTTAATGCTAAAGGATATTCCGAGCATTTTCATAACGATAGTTCAGAATTCAGAAATTACATAGGTTTAGGTTTAGGTATTACATATTTTGATGTACAAATGGATAATTATTTGTAAGTTCACCTTAAGTAAGCCGTACTTATATATGTTTGATCGTAAGCTGTACATATACAAAAATATATCCATACGGCAAACGGTCTGCGATGTATTACGGGCTATGCGGCCTTCATGCATTGGCCACTATGGTATTCCTGTTAACTGCGAGTGGTTGAAAAAACTAAGTAGTTTCTTGTATTGCAACCGCGAACGAACACTGATTTTAGTTAATGTGACTAAAAATGTAACGCAGTCACAGTTTTTGTTCTGAATTGCTGGTCTAGTAGCAAATATATATATATATATATACTCTTCGAACTGAAAGAGTCTCTAGCTATGGTATAAAAGTACGTAGTACATAATATTTAAATGAGTATGAAAGACTAATGATAAGCTATTATTTTTAAGTGATTTAAAGAAAAATAATATGTCTATACAGCTCAGTCCAATGTGTACTTCTTAAATATTAAAAAATTTAATGTTACGACATTCAGCTGAATGTTATAAAATTTGTAATAAGTAATGTGTCGATATGTCGGGTAACCGAATTGCGGGACCTGGGCGTATATTTGGATCACAAATTAATATTTAAATCTTATATTGATAAAATAGTTAACAAGTAATATAAGATGCTTGGATTTGTTTTACGAATTACTGAAGGCTTTAAAAAAATCCTCAACAATCCCGCCAAAACTCCCTTTTATTTTTTG